TATATATATATATATATAGAGAGAGAGAGAGAGAGAGAGAGAGAGATCAAAAAGACAGGGCAAGAGCCTCATCCGACAGACCATTCTTCCTCTTAAAAGGCACACAGAACCAATTAACTGACTTGACAGAAAACTTTTCCTCTCCCTCTGACAAAAAAAAAAAGATTTAAAACAGCTTCCAAAATATAGAATGACAAAATAAATGATCAGAAAAACCCGATTTAGTCTGTAAAAGACAGCTGTCAAAAGTACATTAGAGAATCCCCTTCAAATATTTGATTTTGTAGCTACACTCTTTAACAAGAGTACATGTATTGGTGTTCAAGGTATTTATAGTAAAGAGTGGTGTTTTAGCCTCAAGTTTTATAGGCATCCATAACTAAGCACCTCTCCCAAACAATTTTCATTTGCCAATGAGCAAAGGCACTTACTAACAGTTTCTTACTATCAACCCCTGAAGAAGGCAATGCTTTTTATTATCTTCTAACAGATAAGGAAATAACACAAAAAGATGTGAAATAACTGGCTTAACCACATGGTGGAAGAGTTGAAATTTGAATTCTCAGTCTCCTCCAACTTCCTACACCCTAGAGCTATATGGATGGTTTTGCAATAGGAAGCCTATTTATATGACTTTCCATGGGACCAAGAAGTCAAAACCACAACAGGGTAAAAGCAGGAAGACATTGCTTTCTTGGCAGAGAGTTTCAAAGGCAGCAGCATTAACTGATTTCAAGGCATTTTGCTATATTGTGGGGACTGCCCTGGATAAGCATGACTACAAAGGGCTTGGGTAAAGTAGCATATTCTTTGAGAACACTGTCATCGGTTTTTTTTTTTTTAAATTAAAATAATTAAGCTCTGAGCTTGTAAGACCTCGAAAGATTGCCCTTTTACTTTGAATCCTCTGACCACTTATTCCTTTTCATAGTAAAGTCTCAATATACGTTCAAAATAAATTGTCAATCAAATATTGGAACTTCTCCCAAACCATCCCCCCTCTCCTGCTCCCTATGAGCAATAGAATTACATAGAATCATGCCACTTGACATTCAAACTCCACAGACCTTTAATATGCAGTAAGTTTAGGATGCTTGTGTTCACATCAAGCAGTAGCACATGGCCATTCTCCACTGTGACGTTGTCGCCATCTTGTGGCAATCTTTCAGGAAACCAACTGTGAGCCCTAGACCACCTTCTGCAGAACTGAAAGGAAAACTTTTCCTGAAAAAGAAAAGATTTTGTGCATTTGTTTTTAAGCATAACAGAATAGACGACAATCAAAATAGAAACTTTTCAAGGAACGTTAAATAAACTTAAAATATCAAACACCTCAGTAAAATCAGTTACCCTCTCTTCCTTATACAACTAACCCAAACAGAAGGAAAAATATGAAAGAGGCAAAGTTATACCTCTCTGTTCAGCTGCTGGAATTTGTTGTTGGTTTATTTTTTCAGTGCAGGCTCCCTTGTACCTAACAGATGGAACTGATTCTATTTCTTATTTTATTTTATTTTTTAATGTGTTGAGGTGTATTGCCTGTGTCATGCAATGCCTGTGGAGGTCAGAAAAGGATGTCATATTTCCCCTGGAACTGGAGTTACAGATGGTTGTTAGCTGTCATGTGGGTGCTGAGAACTGAATCTGGGTCCTCTGCAAGAATAGTCAGTGCTTCTAACTTCTGCACCATCTCTCCAGCCCCTCTATTTCTTATTTTTACAGATATGCATTGATTCTTGGACAAAAAGTCATAAATATCCTGAAAGAGGGAGAATTATAAGTTCTCCTTGATGGGTGGCATTTTGCTTTGCTAACTGGCATCATCTTTCACTGGCTCTACTGCTAAGTGTCCCTGTTTTATAGGCACATTCCTCTTTCCAAGTGCTCAGATCTATCCTCCCACTTGGCCTTTTTTGATATTATTGTTTCCATTCCTCTATGCTTGGTGTGCTGTGTTGAACAAAGCCCATGCCTGTTCAAGTGAGAGGCAGACCGACTTTAGATAAGTGAGTAGCCTAGAAACTTTGGGTGAAATTCTGGGGACAGGACTGAGAAGCATCCTGCCACTATCTGTCTCAGTGTGTGGTCACTCTAAAGTGAGAAGTTGAAAAGACTGTGGCAGCTACATCAGCTACACAACTAGGTGAACCAGGTCAACTGAGTTCTCAATAAAAGAAACTTGGAAAAGCTTGGATCTCCAGTTCAGAGATAAAAGCGTTCTAACAAAATCATATTCATTAATTTTGCAGATGAAGCTTCAGTGTTTCTTGGTTCAGCAATTTAAAGAATGTTGATCCTATCGGTGCCATCATAAAGTTATGGACTCAAAAGCTCAGGAGGTGGGGTACAGGAATTTGTCACAGTAATCTTACATGACAATTTGGCTTCAATTTTGGGGGGCAAATCAAGTCAAGGGCTAGAAGATAAAGACATATATCACCCAAACAACACCCAAAGTTCAAGATCTGTAGGCAAGGTCACCCAACATTAGCAAGTCAGGCAGGTTGTTTAAGTGGATGATAAGATGAAGAATTCAGCAGTACAATTCCTCTGAGCAGATCTATAGCCCAGCTACAGAACTACATAGGAAGCCAGGGTTCATGACACTCAGTGAAAAGATTTGGAACATCCAGACATTAATTAGGTACTTAAAGGCATCAAAGGAAAACAATTCTATGGTGTCTTCCATTGATTTAAGAACGTTTTTAAATTGTTGCAATTAGCACTGGTATCTGTTATCTAGCTCTGAGTGAGCCTGGCCTTGCCTGTCAGTCTTCAGAAACTGCTCCACTTAGCTACCCAGCTAGGTGGGTAGGAGGATCAAATATTGTTATCACCATTTTGAAGTTAAGGAAACAAAGGCCCAAAGTCATGAAGAGACTTGAGTCATGGGCAACAAGCTCCCACCAAAGGTCTTTTACTACTGTGTCTACTGGATTGAGCATCTCCCAAAATGTTTACATGACTCATTCCATTACTGCATTTCTGTCTTTGCTTAAGTATGGCCTCCTTCCCTATAACTAGATTTTTTTCAAACTTCAACTTTAATCAATACCTCTCCCTTAACATTGCTTCATTCTGCTATGAGATCAGATAATTTCTTCTGCACTTATTTATTGAGCTTACTCAAATGAGGCAGTGAGGGTATTTTTGGTCATTGTTATGTCCCATTCTGCTAAAATCAGAATGTTAAATACAAACTGTTGACAGGCTTTCTTGAAGTAGCAGTCCATCTGCTGACCTAACGCAGTTTTTCTAAAAATTGTACACATATAAACATACACAAATGCACATACAGCTTTCTAACATAATATGTGAATAAATGGATACGAAAACCTAAAATATCAAAAAAGGCTTCATTTTACAGGTCTCTCAATCCACTGGGGTTGAGCTGTTCAGTTTTGCATTCTTTTTCCAATTTTCTAGCTCTACTTGAACATTACCAAATAATTGGTGAGAACATTCTTGCTAAAACTAGTTCCTCTGATCTCCCTATGAAATACTACCACAATTTTTTCTTTCTCTAAGTTTTACTACTCAGTGTGACCAATACCAGGTAAATAGCAATGCTAATTGTTCAGTTCCAGAAGTCTCAAGTGGGTTGGTGACAAATTCCTCTTTACTATAATAGACATATTGAAATATATAAATGTGTATATTTTGACTAATACTTCTGTATAAAGAAATAGATGAATAAAAAAACCTCAATGTAGCATCAACTATTTTGCAGCCACCTGAAAAAAGTAAAGGTTTATGCCCACAATTGTAAGAGCTCAGTATAATCCATGATGCCAAGCCTGCTGCCATTAGAATTTTAGCTTTCCTATATTTTCACAGTTGACAAAGTTGTCCAGTCCATTACTTATACGGGACTTTTATGGCAATGACCCATGGACAAGTGGAAATGCCTCATCTTTCAATATCTTCATCCCCTAGTCCATCTCTGTTCCAGCCAATCAAGCAAAAATAATGATGACAACATTAATAAAAGGATCTTTGTCAATATATGTGAGGGCCTCGTCATTGACGACAAGGAAGTGTTTCTGGTTAAGATGATGCTCGCTATCACCTACATAGCTCATGGGCCAATATAGGTTTCATTTCTACCTAATTTAAGATCTTTCCTCCATGGCTCCTGTCTAGTGAAGTTGTCAACTTGACACAGCTCAGAATCATTTGAGGGACTCTCAACTGGGGGATTACCCATATCCAAATTGGCTTGTGGCCATGTCAGTAAGGAACTGTCTTGATTGATGATTGATGTGGGAGAGCCCAGACCTCTGTGGATGGCACCATCCCTATGCAAGTGGGCCTAGGGAATTGAAGAAAGCTAGCTAAGCAGAAACCAGAGAACATGCCAGTGCGAAGCTCCCCTCCATGGGTCCTGCCTCTGCTCCTGTCTGAGTCCTTCCCTGACTTTCTCAGTGATGGACTGTGACCTGGAAGTTTGAGCCAAATAAATCCTTCTCCCCTATAGTGCTTTTGGTCATGGTGTTGATCTCAGCAAAAGAAAAGCAAACTAGAACAGTTCCCATGGTGCTTTGGTTTTCCTCTTGGAGATAGGCAAAGCAGTCATCTCATCCTGCAGATGAAACAAATCATCTCCTCATAAACACAATGGGGAGAGATGTAGGAATAGAGAAAGAACTATGCAGGACAAACCTTCAAATCTTTACCTCAATACATCCGGTCTCAAATAAATCCCAAAAGAAATAAGTAAATAAAAATAAAAAGCAAAAAGTTTCCTTCCTCAGCTAGGAAACTTATGCAATTTGTTTTCTTCTTACAGCGCATCGGCACTTCTCTGAACTTCAGGGAATGTGCAATGTCTGCAAATCTTGCTTGTCACCTTAAATGTACTTGCAACTCCACAAGAGTTATCTTGAAAGAAGTCATTGATCAGCAAGTTGGAACATCAGGCAAAGCAAAGACCTATTTGAGTGGATGAATTGAACTAGGGTGGCGGGAGGGGTGGGGTAAGGGAATCTCTCTAGTCACAGCGTCTCCTGGTTGACAAAGACAGGAAGACCTGTTCTGGCACCTCACCAGAAGGCCTTCTTACACAACATGCAACACTTAGAAATGAAAAAAGACAAGGTCCTGTGGTCAACATTTTCTCGATCCCCTTACCCTCCCTTAATTTCTCCAAAGCACTGATGACCATATTATACAATGTATCTGTGTTCATAGTAGTTAAGTTAAGCCCCAAAAGACTGTATAGAAGCATTGTAAGAGGTTCCTGGCTTTTGCTATATCTCCAGTACCCACAACCATGCCTGGTACTGAGTATCCCAAAATACATTAGAAAAAAAAGGTCAGTTTTTGTTTCAGTTTATAATAACTATACTGTAATTTAAAATATCTAGAAACTATAATCATTTGGTGTAAGTTCCATCCAGTGTTCCTTCACAAAGAAATGTTTTTAATTTTTATAAAATTGTATTTTTTCACCTTTTAGTTTGAGATATCCTTCACTATTCTGTACAGAAGTTCATTCTTTCACTCTGGCACAAATATTCTTTTTTAAAGGTTATTTGTTTTAATTTTTATGTGTATGAATGTTTTGCTTGCTTGGATGTATGTAAGTGCATCACATACATGCAATGGCCCCGAACACCAGAAGAAAGTGCTAAATCCCTGGAACTGGAGTTACAGGTGTTTGTTAGCCACCATGAACATGCTGGGAACTGAACCCTGGTCCTTAGCAAGAGCAGCCAGTGCTCTTAATCGCTGAGCCATCTCTCCAGCCCTGACTTGTAAATTCTTAATTGGTAAGATTGTGCAAGTCTATGTTTCCCCCAACTAAAACTTAGAATTTGCATCGTGGGAAAATTTCCATTTTCCTTTGTTTTTATTCTTGCTTTTACCACCTAAATATTTAAATAATTATCCTCATAACACTTATTGAATATTTACTTTCTTCTAAGTATGCTAATAGTTATATTACAATGATTTTAAACTGTTGGCCAATTAAAATTCCAAACCTTTTGTGTATAAGTTAGTGTGAAGACAACTCTCCCAAACAAGAGAAGCGTGACCTCCTTTTTGTTTTTCAGGTGCTTAAATTATCATTTTTAAAAAAGGCAAACAGCCAGATAATTAAAGTGTGACTGATTCAATAATTCAAAACATAACCAAGATAATATGGGAGCTTGGAAGAGCTGGTAGAGATGGCTTTACAAGTGAAATTCAATGCATGAATCACCTTTCCTTTTTTTTCTTTT